ATGGACAGACATGCCATCACCTCACTTATACAAATACTAGAGGCCCGGTGCATGAAAATTCATGCACTGGAGGGGGGTGGTCCCTCAGCCTGGCCGCCCCCTCTCATAGTCTGGGAGCCCTCAAGGGCAGGAGGTGACCCGTTGATCAGGGAAAGGTGACGTGCCCACCACACCTCTGCTGCTGCCACTGCCGGCTGTGCAAGCTCAGCTGGCCCTGGTTACCTGCACCTCGTGCCGGCCCTGGGCAGCTGGGGGGCTGAGGGGACTGGGCACCACCATCTTTGAGGGTGTGGCAGTCAATTAGCATATTCCCTCCTTATTGGCTGTGGGTGCCACCATCTTTGCGACGGTGTGAGGGTCAATTAGCATATCCCCGCTTTATTAGATAGGATGCACAGAGAGGGATAAGGATTACAAAAACACCCAAGATGTTTAACAATTATCTCTGGATAATGAAATAATGAGTGAATGGTTTCTTTATTCTTTTCTGTGTCTTCTGAACTTTCAACAAAATATACAAATAATACTTTTAAATTGGTTTTTAAAGTTTTAACCATTACAGGAAGGGCTTATGTTAAAGCTAAATTTCACTGTAGCCAATACCATTGTTTTAAAATCTATTAACTTTTCATATTCTGTTCTTTTCTTCTGCATAAGATAATATTAAAATCAAACTCTGGCTCCAAAGATGCCGACAGGGAACCCGCAGCAGGAGGCACTGACAGCCGTGAGCTGTAATAACAGTATCGTGGCTGAAATGCAGAGAACTGGAGCTCGTGAACTCAACTCTCGAGATGCATTTAGAACATGAACCAAGGGGTAGAACCAGCAAAGCTGGACGGGCTCCCCGTCTACCGTCTGTTAGCGCCCAAGATTCTGACAGGGAGAGTCAAGATGAAGGAGTGGTTTTCTTTAGGGAACAATTCTGCCAAAAACATGGAATGCAAGTAATTTAAAATATTCAAGACATATGCATGACTGACTCCAAATTGCCTTAGTATGCCTTGTATGATAGGATATAAGAACTACCTCCATCTACGTAATGTTTGGCTGACACTCAAGACAAAACCTCACATATTCAATATCCCACTATTTTCTGATTGTACCAAAAAATTAACAACCAGAAAATTATTTCACTCTTTAAAAAAAAAGCATTTACACTTTAAAAATTGGGATGAGGTACAATTTCCTCCTTCTTAAAGATGTTTCTACAGCTACTAAAAAAACTTGCATTTGTAAAACAGTTGATAAAAAAATCTTCCTCTGGCCCTGGCCGGTTTGGCTCAGTGGATGAAGCGTTGCCCTGCGGACCAAAGGGTCTCGGGTTCAATTCCGGTCAAAGGCATGTACCTTGGTTGCAGGCTCCTCCCCAGCCCGGGCTCTGTTCGGGGGCATGCAGGAGGCAACCAATCGGTGTGTTTCTCTCCCATTGATGTTTCTCTCTGTCCTTCCCTCTCTCTTCCACTCTCCCTGAAAATCAATGAGAAAAATGTGCTCGGGTGAGGATCAACAACAACAATCTTCCTCTGGATTGTGCAAGAAGGGAGAAGGGACCACAGAGAAGACATGGTATGTGGTATTAATCAGACTTGGCTTCTTTCTCTCCTGCTTCACCTGACACTGGCCTCTCCTCCTTTTCGGTTCCTCCGTTTTCCGTAGGTAGATCTTTAGGTTCCTGGTCAGCCACTTGGCCTGCTTTTCCTTTGCTCCCCTTTCCCTTCCGTATGCACTTTTTTGTCTGCAGATTCATCCTTTCCTGCCACCTTTTTTGGCTTCATTCCCATTTTTTTTTTGCAGGAGCAGGTTTGGCTGACAGCCTTGCTGACCACCTCCTTTGCTGCCTCTAGGGGGAGCTGACCTTCCTCTTGGGCACCATGGAGGTGGCATGCAGCTGAGGGCCTGAGAACTGAGGCTGCCTAGAACCTTTGAGAACCTGGGTTGACTGGCCGCTGCCACTTCTCCAGCCACCCCAGCTGCCGGGACCCACAATGGAGGGCGGTGGGAAAACCATCTGAAACCGGATTGGGAGCCCACTACCCCCACCCCCGCAACTATTCTTAATATTCATTTCTGGGCACCATAATTTAAGATGGGCAATGTCACCCTGGCTGGTTTTGCTCAGTGGATAGAGCGTCAGCCTGTGGACTGAAGGGTCCCGGGTTCCATTCCAGTCAAGGGTACATGCCTGGGTTGCGGGCTCGATCTCCAGTGGGGGGCATGCCTCCCTTCCTCTCTGAAATCAATAAATATATGTGTAAAAAAAAAAGATGGGCACTGTCATGAAATACAATATATCCAGGAGGGCAACGGAGATAAAAAGAGACCCCAAAATCAAACCATCTAATAACCCTTAGGGTTTAACTTGCAGTGGGATGGCCAACACGGTAGGACAACAACATCTCAGAGATGTTAGGGAGCAGGTTAGTGAGCAGAGTTCAAGAAAACAGAGCGCTCAGACAGCAGCTTTTCAGCGCTCTGGTAGAAAGAACATGTACGAAAAATGGAACCGGGTGCTTTTTGTAAGTTACTACAAGTGCTCAAAAAAAGAGAGGGAGTACTTTAGGTCCTCCCCACAGTGAAGGCATCAGGAATGCCAACACACTTTCTTCTGCTGCTCTGTTCTCCATTATAAACTCATCAAGCAGCAATCTGATGAAGGCAAAATCCAGGCACTCTTACAAGCAGATTATACTGAGACTAGAGGCCCAGTGCACGAAATTCATACACAGGTGGGGTCCCTAGGCCTGGCTGGCGAACAGGGCCGATCAGGTTCCCCGCCTCTCCGCCTCCTCCTTCCCTCGCCGTACGTACGTGCGCTGCCACTGCGCAGTTCCCCGCCTCCCCGCCCGCATCTGCCTCCACCCACCCCTGGTTCCCCATCACAGCCCAGGGCCCGGTTCCAATCGGGCGATTGGGACTTGCCAGCCGGGGGGGGAGGGACCAGGAGGTTGGCCGGCAGGCCCCATTGGCGATCAGGGCGCATGCAGGTTGGGGGCAGCTCCTACGTTGAACATCTGCCCCCTGGTGGTCAGCGCATGTCATAACAACCGGTCACTTAGGCATATATATATATATATATATATATATATATATAGAGAGAGAGAGAGAGAGAGAGAGAGAGAGAGAGAGAGAGACTGACTAGATGCCCAGTGCACAAAATTCATCCCCGGGGGGGGGGGGGGGTGGGGTGTCTGTCAGCCCGGCCTACACGTCTCACATCA